TTCTGAGTTTATGTTAGCAACAATCAGTGGGAAGTTTTGCACCAAATCAGCTGTATCTGGAACCCTGTCGCATTACCTAATTTGACAGGGTTGCTTGGGCGGAGCTGTCTGGAGTGCTTCTGAGTTTATGTTAGCAACAATCACTGGGAAGTTTTGCACCAAATCAGCTGTATCTGGAACCCTGTCGCATTACCTAATCTGACAGGGTTGCTTCGGTTGATGTTCTGCCCATTCTGCCCACCCCCCAGCCAGCCCCAGCCCCAGCCCCCCAGCCCCAACCCCGGCCCCAGCCCTGCCCAGCCCAGCCCCAGCCCACCCCAGCCCCAAGCTCATTTGTCAAACCGGTACCACTTCCATGGCCTCCTGGCAACCCTGCTCCCTCCACCCACCCGAGCTTCTTCGTGCGAGGACTTGATGCGGAGCTTCTGCGCCGAGCTTTCCCGGACTCTAGATGCCACATCCGTCAGCCAGTGTGAAACAGCTCTTGTGTGCATCACGTTGGAGGGCACGGGTGCTTGCATGTGTTCAAGTGTTACTGTTCGTGCCCAGGGCTTTTGGTGGGATGGCTTGGGGGGCTTTGAGGGTCTCGCTTGCAGCACTGAGTGACAGCATCTGTGTTACCAAGCTCTTTTTTCGATGTCTCAGCTTGCTTGTGTGGTTGTTGCTGTGTCCTGCGAAGGCAGACCAAACTAAACAAATGCCCAATCGAATCCTAGACAGCAAATGCTGGGTTGGGGCCCAACGGTTGGGGTGCTTGGGTTGGTAGGTGGGCAGGGAGTGGTGGGGGTTGAGGAGAGAGGGAAGGAGGCTGAAAAGAGGGGTTTGGTGGGGGGAAACCAAGGCCTGGCAGGCGCCGAAGGCACCGAAACGGGGCCGTGCGCAGACGGTGGGTCGGGTAGCAGATCCCAAATCGTGCAAATTCGGGGTTTGGCTAAAATTGTTGGGGGTGAATTCAGTTTTGCAAAAAGCCAAGATTGCAAGGCAAAAGCAGGGTTGAGGCAGGGTCGAGCAGGGGTCGAGCAGGGGTCGAGCCAGTCGAGCCAGGGTCGAGCAGGGGTCGAGCCGGGTCGAGCCAGGTCGAGCCAGGTCGAGCAGAGGTCGAGCCAGGTCGAGCCAGAAGGTCGAGCCAGGTCGAGCCAGGGTCGAGCCGGGTCGAGCCAGGGTCCGGAGAGGGGTCCCGCAGCATGGTGCTCTTGGATGGGCCCAATCACACAAAAACGGGCCTGTAGCAAGGATTTCCAAGGGCCTGGCTCTGTTTGGCTCCCGGAAGGCATTTGGGCCTCCTTCATTAGGGCACCTCCTGCTCTCTGCTTGCTTTGTTTGCATGGAGGGTTGCACGCATGCTGTGGTGCCCGTGCATCTTCAAGTATGTCTTGACTATCATCTATCATACCCCATGCGGTCCATGCTCTGTGTTGTGTGGGTGCAAGGTGCTACTTGGCTGTGCCGCCCGAAGTGTCACAGGTGGTTGCCGTAGATTCAATTGTGTCTCAGTCTGTCAGTGCCAAGACACTAGTGGCAGTTCCTGTAGCAGCTAGAGAAGAAGAGCACAAAAACATTGAGTACGCCAACATCTTCAGGCAAGCATCCTTAGTAGACATAGTTTGGCATGTCGTCGGACCGTGATGACCCGCTGTCGGCATCAGAGGACCTCGACTCTGATGATGTAGCTTCGGAGTCTGAGCAAGCTCCGCAGACTCCTCGAAAAAGCAAGAAGCGGGCTTTGGAGCCCGACTCAAGTGAGAAGTCCAAAGCTAGCCCCAAGAGCAAGAGCAAAGCAAAGAATGCAAAGGCCAAAGCGTCCCCAAAGAAGCGAGGAGGGCGACACATGGCCGCCAGCTGTTTGACTGGCAAGAAGCGCTTGTGCAAAAGCTGCCAGAAGCAGCTGGATCTTAGCCACTTCGCCCTGAATCAAGCAAATTGTGCCAAGTGCAAAAAAGCCTTAGACTGCATTTCGAAAAAGGCGAGAGCGACTGGTAAAAAGGATTGGTTCAAGCGCACGAAGTCAGACCCAAAGCGGTGCAAGCAGATGCTGATGTCGTATCAGAAGAGTGTGGACGAGGCTCAGAAGGAAGGCCGCAAGAGCACGTGGAATATCGCAACTTACCAGCAGACCGTGAAAGCCACTTCCAAGACACGGACTTTGTCTGCTGGAAAGATGATGTGGGAAGAGGAAGCGATCCAGTATTGGGAGAGTGTGCCCGGTGGCAGCATGAGCAGGGCTGCCGCCAAGAGCAAGTGGGACAACCTGAAGGAAAACATCGAGGTTGACAACCTTATCACAGACACGGACGGGCCGAGGCAGGCACCCCTCCGAATCAGGATCCACACCGGTGATTTGGTGAACTTCGAAGGCACCTATGGTCGCAGCAAGCGCCTGGGCTGTATGTGGTCATCTTGCCTTCCACCCCGAAGCTAGCGCATAGCCTTGTGTTTCAACCCAAGCCCTGAAGCAATCAAAACAAGCCCCTCAACAAGAGTGCGGGTTGCTTCGGTTGCCTGTTGGCAGTTTTCCAACCCCCCATTGGGTGGGGTCCCCCAAAATCTAGGAACGTAAGCAACCTGCACCCCACTGTGCGGGTGCAGGTTGCTTACGTTCCTAGATTTGGGCGGTGGGGGTTGGGGTTTTCACAAACCCCAATCTCGGCCCGAGAATGGGGGTTTGTGAAAACCCGATTTTCCAGCCCCCCATGCTCGGGCCCGGGAATGGTGGGTTGCTTTTTCGGGTTTTTCCAATCCCAAACAACACAGGCGTGTGGACTGCATTGCCAGTCAGAAGAAGAAAGCGACCGAGGCAGACGTGCAGAAGATGACCCGAACTTTGATGGTCAACCATGGAAGCACCCCGGGCAGTGTGGACTTGCATGATGCTGCCAGAGGGCTCATGGGCAGCGAGGCCATGGAAGGACTTTCCGCAACCCTCGCCGACGTGGAGGCGTTGGCGCCGGAGACAGACGGCTCGGAACCGGAGAAGGAGGAGGATGCGGAGCAAGAGGAGGATGAGGATGGGGATCCGAAGTCGAAGGCTAAAAAGGCTAAATGGTGGGACAGAGACCGTCACGTGAACAAGGCGCATAAGACCTTGACAACCGCTTACGAGAAGTTGTACGAGTCGGCAACCTCCCAGCTCGGCAAATGCAAGCAGATTGAGAAGGAGGTGTCTGGCTTGTCCAGGAAGGATAAGAAGATTGTTGAGGGCGACCTCGCCATCTTGATGTCTCGCTACACTTGCTTGCAGAGGCTTTGGGACACCGAGGAGGGGCTTCGGAACTACATCCGTGACTTTGATGCGCCGGCCCCATCTGATGCAGCCTCCAGCAAGTCCGACGGCATCAAAGCCTTGGGGAAGGCAGCTCCGTCTGCCTCCTTCCGCAGCCTCAAGACTTTCGCATCGTACAAGGCCAAGTTGGATGACGTGCTTGAGGCGACCTCGGTTGAGGAGATTGAGGAGACGAAGAAGTCCGTGAATGATACTTTCCGGGCTCCCATCGCCGATATCGTCGCAGCTTCGAAATCTGCAGAGAGTGATCTCTCGAAGGCCGTCAAGGCCATCAGGAAGGCAGAGCAGGAGGCTGCTACGAAAACTGGGCCAAAGAAGAAAGCAGCTGCTAAGGGAGGCGGCCAGGGAGTCTTTGATCATGCGGACAAGCTCGCAGATGTTCCCCAAAGCAAGGAGGGCGACAACGTCCTCAACCTAGCGTTGCCTTGCCTCGTGCATTCCCTTGATGACAAGCAGCGCAGCTTTGAGAATGCAGCTGCCGTGAAGGCGCAAGTGCTGCAAGAGTTCGTGCAGGTCTTTTCAGCCCAGTCCACAGCCCAGAAACTGGATCGGGCCCACAAGCGATATCCAGAATCTTCGGAGCTGTACAAGGCCCTCAAGCAGCGGATGAGTTCGATCATGAAGGAGGTCAAGGAAACCTTGGATGTGGACTTGCCCCAGGACCTCAAGGTAAGCCTCGATGTCCAGGCTGTGATCATCCACAAGAACGTCCTCAAGGTTGCCACCGAAAAGCATCATGCAGGCAGGGCGGTAGGACAGCCACGAACAAGTGACCCAAGCGCTTGGTGATTTCACCAGAATGAAGTTAACGCTGCCATCCTCCCCATCTCTCGTTCTCACCCTAAACCCTAAACCCTAGCCGCTAGTCACTTATGCCCTTTGCCAGGTGCTGTGCGGCTCACCGTCAGTGGCTGTCGGGAAGTGATCATGGTTGCAGAAAAGGCCCTCGAGCATCTGGGGGCTGGGACTCTCAAAGAAGCACGTGATCTTCTCTTGGAAATGGATGCGTCGAAGCTGGAGGTGATACGCAGCAAGGGCTACGATGTCTACTTTGCGAAGGTCGGCAAGGCCGGTCTCAGAATCACAAATCCAAGAATGCATAAGGATCTCAGAAAGTTTAGTCAATATGCCAGCTGGAATTGGCTGGAATCCCTTACTTGCCATTGTCTTGCCCTAGGCATGAAACGCGGGATTTCTGAAAGGAAATCTGGCATTCAGGAGTTCAGGGATCACTCTTTCGCTTGTGTCTGGTGTTTGCTGCAGTTGTTTACTTCCCGGAAATATAGACAACCCTGCTTACATATTTCTGCTTTTGGCATTGCCTTACCTGGGCAGGGAGATGCTCTCTACATGCCGCCAGCATGGATCTTTGCGGAGCGCATCTTGGGTTCTGGCCATTGGGTCGGGGTACGTGCCGGACTGCTCTGTGCCACACTCGGGGCACAAGACGACTTGAAGTGGCTGTCTCGGGATTGGTGCCGAGATGACGAAACGTTGAAGCTCATGATCAAGAATGCACCAAGGCTAGGATCGCCGGAAGACCGGGATGAGGCTCAGAAGAAGCGAGAAGAGGAGGCCCAAAAGCGAGAGGAGCAGAAAAAGCGAGAAGAGGAGGAGGAGGCCCAAAAGCGAGAGGAGCAGAAAAAACGAGAGAAGGAGGAGGAGGAGGAGGCCCACAACAAGCGAGAGGAGCAGAAAAAACGAGCAGAGGAGGAGGCCCGCAACAAGCGAGAGGAGCAGAAAAAGCGAGAAGAGGAGGAGGAGGAGGCCCAAAAGCGAGAGGAGCAGAAAAAGCGAGAGAAGGAGGAGGAGGCCCGCAACAAGCGAGAGGAGCAGAAAAAACGAGCAGAGGAGGAGGCCCGCAACAAGCGAGAGGAGCAGAAAAAGCGAGAAGAGGAGGAGGAGGAGGAGGCCCAAAAGCGAGAGGAGCAGAAAAAGCGAGACAAGGAGGAGGAGGAGGAGGCCCGCAACAAGCGAGAGGAGCAGCAAAAGCGAGAGGAGCAGCAAAAGCGAGAAGATGAGCAGGTTCAGAAAATGCAAGAGCAGCAGAAAAAGCGGGAAGATGAGGAGATTCAGAAAAAGCGGGAGGAGCAGAAAAAGCGAGAGGAGCAGGAGGCCCAGAAAAAGCTTGAGAAGAGCCAGCAGCAGCAGGGGTCACCGCGTCGAACGAAGTTATCCTTGGATGGCCCGCCGAAGGCGTCTCGGGCGCCGCCGCCCCCGCCGCCGCCGCCTCCCCCGCCCCCGTTGTGAGACTGAGCCGACTCTGAGGCGACCGTGTGATGAATGCCTAGGCTGTGCTGGACTTTTTGTGATTTCGCAGCACGTAGAGTTAGAGTCCTAGCCTGTGTGCATAAAGACATGCTGTGAACATCGATGTTGTCACGTTCCAGCTCGCCGCCGTGTGACACATCTTTTGCGACTCTCAGCAAACCCGCTGGGATGATTTTCAGTGCACAGCCCCACAGATCTGACTCTGAAGATCTGCGTGTTGCGTTGCTTTGCAGCAGAGCGAGGGCCTCGGGTAGGTGGAGCTACTAGCAACCCTATTTCGGTGTTCGTTTTATGTGTCTGTAGGATTTCCTTGTAAGTCTTGAGATGGATGACTTGGCGGTATTCTTCAGAATCTAGATAGAGATTGAGGCAGTTCCGCTTTTCATGCTTTGCAGGGCAGCAATTCAAGGAGGGGCATTTTAACGTTTGGCTTGTGCCAACGCGGTGCAGGTGATTGAAGTATCATCTGTGCATGACATTCGGGCATACTCGGACATTTTCCATTCTCAGATTCCGAAAGACTGATTTCTCGCCATCCGGAACGAAGCAAACAGACTCGTTGTTTTGACAAGTTTGTTATCTGTCCATGGCACTTGTGCTGTGCTTCCAGAGCTTACCGTGGCACGCTGCTGACGTGAATGCATTGGAACTTTTGCCATCGACGTTGGGTGCACTGTGACAGGTTCAAACATGTCAGAGGCAGGGGCAGAAGGTAGAGTGAGAGGGTCGGCTACGTTGAAACGTGGCCGCTCAAGCCTTGATATTGAGGACCTCACAGATGATGGCGACGCAGACGCAGAAGTGCCTGCAGCTGCTGCAAGCGCAGTTGCTGACGGAGTTGACGATGTGATGAAGCCGAGAGGATCGGCGACTGCTCAGGATAATCCGGCATCACTACCGCTTGGGCCGTCGAGTTACGCAGAAGTTTTCATGTGGCATTTTGATGTGGTGACGAGAAATTACTCAAGGTATGCTGGCTCGCCACCGAAGTCGCTTCAAGAGCCTCTGTGTGTTAAGGTCACATCTTCGTACTCAGGCATTGGTGCTGCAGAAGTAGCAGGTGTCATGGTTAAGCATGCAATGGAGCAGCGAGGCATGCTGATCGACTTGGCAACCCACAGCCAGACTGAGGTACAGCCAGAGTGTCAGGGATTGTTGACTGCCAAGCACATCATGAGTGACATCTGTGAACGGGTGTCTCAGAAGCTTCTCAAGAAGCTCCAAAGGTTGCAAGACAAATACTTTTCGCAGTCTGAGGAGGCAACCCCGCAAGTGCGGCAGCAGCTTGGTGAGCGTTTCTTGCAGGAAGCTGCTCGCTTGTTAGATAAGTCTGCTGCCGAGTTTCAAGCCTGTGTGACGTGCAAGACCTGTGGATCTACGTGCGCCTGGGCCCCTCCTCGCGAAGTTAACCAGCTCTGGATAGAAGTTGCAGGCAACACTTGTACTCCGTGGAGCCCTCGTGGGAAGATGCATGGATGGCTTGATGCAGCCAGCTTGGTGGCTTTGGTGTGGGTTTTTTCGTTGAAGTTCGCTTCTCAAGGGCCCCCGGATGTGATCATCAATGAAAATGTAACGGGTTTCCCAGCAGAGAGACTGTTTCACTTGGTGTTTCCATCGAGCATTGTGTGCAGCCATGTGTGGAGCCCGTGTGACCTGGGAATTCCATCGCATCGTCCCCGCCGGTATACTTTGGTCTTCCCACGTACTACATCCAAGCTGTTCGGCAAGGTGTCGTATGACATGGATACCTTACGTGCTGTTTGCTTCAGGCGGCTCCAGCTCCGTGGGTCCGTGTTTTTGCAGGCCCCAGCTGATCATGTCAAGCAAGCTCTTGACAAGCTTGCTGAGCACAAAGGATTGCCGCCTCGCCCAGCCGGCCAGGCCTACTCATGCAAGCATGTCATGGTGTCAGGCGATGCTGTGCGCATGGGGCAGCACCGTGAGAGCTTGTCACGAGAGGGCGTCGTAGATTTTGATTGGAACGTGGATGTCAAGCAAACAACAAGATTTGCAACGAGGATGCAAGTGCTTCCGACCGTGCTACGGGCTGCAACGATTTACAACTTGGCTGCAGAAAGGCTTTTCTTGCTATCGGAGCTCATGGCGGCGCAAGGATTCCCACGGCACCTGCAAACCAGCCACCCAGCATTGGCCTGCATTCCTGTTGATTTCTTTGCAAGCTTTGATGCCTTGCCTGAGAAGGATCAGCGATCAATGATCGGCAACTCCATGTCGTTGTGCCAGGTAGGTGTAGTCTGGGCTTTGGTGCTCATGCAAGCCGTGCACTGTGACTAGATGACTAGATCTGCCGCTTCTGCCTTGGATGTGAAAACTACAGTTCGCGGATGTAGCTTTCTCGAGTTTTGAGGTTACCTCAAGCAAGCTTTCAGCCATGCGCTGTGGTGCTGTGTATGTTCGGCTTGAAGGTTCAGAGTTTCACATCTGGTAGAGCAGTCACCGTGTGAGCATTGCACATTCGAGAGATTCATGGCTTGTGTGGGACATCATGTTTGCGTGGTGTCCGATTCCACGCGCAAAGCATGCCTGCCTATGAAACACTTTTTTGCATGAAGCATTGCTGAGCTGTCGGGTCGGATTTTGATTAATTTATGTCCTTTTCTGGTCGTTGGCCTAGCATGGGCAACTCGGGGAAACTTGGTCGCGAATAATAAACTGTCGGAATATTGGCCTGTTAGCAAGAATCAGTGGCAAATTTGGCAGAAAATCAACTGTATCTGGAACCCTGTCGCATTACCTATTTTGGCAGGGTTCCCCGCCCCAGCCCCCGCCCGCCCCACCCCACCCCACCCCACCCCACCCTGCCCTGCCGATTTGCACTCTTGCCGTAATGATCGAAACGTCGAGTCATAGATCAACATGTCTCCCATCATTCTTGTCTTTCGATGCTGAGCACAACGGCTGAGTACGGAGGTTTATCATATCATGCTCTTCCCAAACATTCCGTATGCTTTGAAGGGGCCCCAAAGAAACGGTGACCGGCACATCCAAAATCTCACAGGCCAAACTGCAACAGAGCAAGCCTCAACCTGAACAACCCAAACTCTAACCCCTGAACCAAAGAATCGAGAATCCAAACCAGAACCTTAAACCCCGACCCGAGATGGAGTGTTTTGTCGTCGTGTTTTTTTTTTTGTCTAGACCCCAAACGCTACAACCCTAACCCTGGATGGCTCAAATGATGGCTCAAACTTTGGCTCAAACAGGCTCAAATCGAGAGATCTGCATCTCTGCAGCCCTGGACCTTAGCCATGCCCTTGCTTGAAATCCTAAACGGCTCAAGCCTGTGCCAAGAGGCTCAAACCCAGATGTGGCTTGTGTGGCAGCCACGGAAGATGTCCGTCTCAAAAGGTTATTGCTTGCTGGATAAAGTGTTGCGGCGGTGGTGGGTGAAAACCCGTTGGATTGTTCAACTTCCGGCAAACGGAGCTGAGTGGCATGAAATAGGAAGCCCACGCATGACCCAATGATTCCTAATAGAATGGACGAATTCCTTGATG